TTTTTTTTTTTTTACATTGAACTTTGGCCCTTTATTTCCTCAATTCTAGGAGCCATAAACCATAAAAAATCCATTAATTTAATAATAGCTAAATGTACACATTCTGCTTTTATTAGTATTCATTAATTAATAAAATCATAATTCTTCATAGTATGTGACTAGGTCATGCTTACTTCCTCCAAGCTTTGAGCATATTATACTCAGTATCTCAAGTTTAAACGGACTTTATTTATGTTACGTATCTTGTGACGGGTAAGCTTTTGTCATTGTAAAGACAAAATTAAAGCTACATTTGGATATCTTCCCTTTTTAAGGGGAAGTGAGGTCAGTCTTCTTTTGAGGGAGAGGGGTATGTGTTTGTGTGTGTATTTTCATTTACCATAAATTTTACCTCATAGCTCTATCTTCTTCTTCTCTTGTGTATACTAAGACCTTATGGGAATATTGCCCAGTATTCTCATATTTAAGACAATATAAAATGGAATTTTTTTAAATAATAGAAAACTTTCACTTGAAATAAATAACATTTTAAGTAACATTGGAAATCTCAGTTTAAGATTCAGCTGAGGTGACCGTGAAATGAGAACAAAAATTCTTTGAAGGACTGCTTTCGTCTTGTAGATGATACGAAAGTACATTACATCTTATTCCTTTGCCTGCCAGCTGGCAAGTTTCTTTTGACATTGATTATAAAATGTAACCTTACTTCAGAAATGTTTAGAAAATTTTAAAAATCTGTGAATTTAAGGAACTGAAACTAAGTATGGAAGATGAGGGAATTAGAAGCTGGTATAAAATTACACAAGATGGGATTCCCACTGTGGTTTTGAAAAGGTTAAATGGGGGGAAAAATCACAGTCATTTACTGAGCATTTATTGTATGCCAGCTGCTATAACAAAGGAATTTAGCTATATTCTTCTCATCCTTACAAACCCCTATCTGCAGTGTGATTTATGTTACTGTCCCTCTTTTGCTAATGACAGACTAAGCTGAGGGAAGATAATGTAAGTTACCCAGGTCACACAGATGGTGAATGGTAGAGCCAGAGTTAAAACTCACATCTGGCTGAGCCCAAAGCCATGCTTCCAACCATGCTGTATGTTATCCACAAAAACCCCTGTGGTGTCCTAATAACCAAAATATTAACTATTACTGTTAACTGAGCATTAACTGTGTGCTAGGAAATGTGAAGAGTGCATTATGTAAAGCATATCTCAGCTGGGCGTGGTGGCTCACACCTGTCTAGCACTTTGGGGGAGGCCAAGGCAGGAGGATCAGTTGAGGCCAGGAGTTTGAGACCAGCACATCTCTACAAAAAATAGAAAAATTAGCCAGGCATTGTGGCAAGTGCCTATAGTCCCAGCTACTCAGGAGGATGAGACAGGAGGATCGCATGAGCCCAGGAGTTCAAGGCTGCAGTGAGCTATTATCATGCCACTGCACTCTAGCCAGGGCAACAAAATAAGACCTTGTCTCAAAAAACCAAGGAAAACCAAAAACAACAAAAACAAAGAGTATCTCATTTTATGTGAAGAAACAGATGTTCTAAGATTGAGCTAGCTGGGTGTTCTAGGGATTATAATATTAGGTCGTAGCTCCAAAGTGTATGCATCTTAGATCATAGAAATTTCACTGTTTCCAGAAGGGGAAAAAAAAAATGACAGAGATATTAAAAGATTCTTCCAGGCTGGGAAGAAATGGTTTCTGGATAATTAGGTAGTTGTGATGTACGGGTTGAGCATCCCAAATCCAAAATCTACCATGCTCCAAAATCTGAAACTTTTTGAGCACCAACATGATGCTTGAAAGAAATGCTTGTTGGAGCACTATAATTATAGCAAATATTTCAAAATGGGAAAAAATCTGAAATCCAAAACAATTCTGGTCTCAAGCATTTTTGGATAAGGGATATACTCCACCTGTACTGTGTGTTTTAGTCTTCCAGGAGCATATTCTTTGAGAGCCGGTGTCCTGGGTTAAGGGAGCTCTGGCAATGTGGAGACATCTGTAGAGTTTGTGGTGCATTTTGGAAAACTTCGTGGGCATCAGCACATGCTTTATATTTGTAAAATTAAGATAAAAATTAGAAATCAAGAATAATAGCACATTGCACTTTTTAAAAAATTTATTTATAGTCACTTTTCTAAAAATAGGTATTTTTTTTTTTAGGTCCCGATCACATAGCAAGAATCCCAAAAGGTATGTATCACACAAGATAGGTCTAAGTAGTAAAGCTGTGTTTTTCAAAAGTAGTTTTTATAGATGAAATATCTTGTAAAAATTAAGGAGACAACAAATTAATACTCTATTTCTTTTGTACTTGAATTTTCAGCATTGTTATTTGAGGAGAAACTCAAAGTCAAAAGATACTCATGAGCTACAATTTAGTTTGATCAGAGTAAAATTGTATACAGTGCTCTGGAGTTATAGGAGAAAGCTAAAAATATTTCAAAATATTTCTTTGAAATCATTTTTAGTAGCTCAGAGTAAATATGTAACAGGATTTATTTTAAAAAATTAGGTGGTACATTTAAAAAACACATTCTTAGAGGTTATACTTACTGAAAACACAAGTAGATAAATTTTTGAGTGAGAGATACACTGTGGGTTGAGGGAAACTAAAATGTTTAGTATATGCTACAATCTTTATATGAGTTTATTACTTAGCCTTTTGTACAGTGATCACAAAAACTTTGATTTTTGAAAGGGGCACTTGCAGCCTTAAAGAGGAAGAGAAAAAGGTAATACTTTCTTTTGACTTTCAGCGTTAATATCTGGGGACCTTTTGGAGTCTTTATAGTTTTTGCTAGTTGCCGATAAATTTTTTCTGTCTGAGAAAGGTGGGGAAACATGTTCTACATCATTATTTATTCTTTCTTAATTCATCATTTGCTATTCTCATTCCTGTTATTGAGCCTTTCTTCATGAATTCATTCCCATTCAGAATCCTGTCTCAGTCTTTGCCAAATCCTACCGTTCTTGTTTAGATCACATGTTCTTTTTGAAACCTTCTGAGTACTCCAGAGAGTAACTATTACCCAAGAACCTTTCCCTAAAAAGTAGAGCATTTGTTGTTACAAAAAAAAAAAAAACTCCTGTTTATATTAGCTATACCCCTTAGTACTTTGTAGAATCTTTCGATAGTATTTTTGCTTAAAACACTAAAAAACTAAAGGATGTTACTAAATGGACCAGTTTTGTCGGCTGATTTATATTATTATTTCTCAGATCCAGGCTGAGAAGTAGAAACATTAAATTATGATACTGCATGTTTACTGGTAGATTAATACAAGCGAGTCCCTTTGTTGAAAAGATAAAGTATTTGTACAAAGAACATCTTTAGATATATGCACCAGAAATTTAGTTCTACCATTCTAGTCCTGTTACCTTGATATTACAATAGCCTTTTAACTGGGCTCCTTATTTCTATGCTTGCCTCTTCGCCTTCTCATTCTGATTTTTGCATGTTGGCCAGAAAGAGCCCTTTAAAACAAACAAACAAAAAAAATACGGCCGGGCACGGTGGCTCACACTTGTAATCCTAGCACCCTGGGAGGCCGAGGCGGGTGGATCGTTTGAGCTCAGGAGTTC